AAATAGAGTTAACGAAGCAAGAGATCAATTAAATAATCTAATAGATAAATTGTTGAAACGTTCAAATCATTCGAATCATTCGAAACGCTCAAATGGTTCAAAGTGCTCAAATACCTCAAAGACCTCGAATGGCTCAAAGAATTTAAAGAGCTTAAATGTCTCAAAGAGCTTAAATGCCTCAGAGAGCTTGAATTTCTCGAAGAGTTCCAAGAGCTCGAATCTCTCAACGAACTCAAAGCATTTAAATAATTATCAGGAATTGGATGATGATGAAATTAATAATCGAAAAGTCCTTCAAATAAGAAAATACCGGAAAAAATTTTTCAAAAAGTTAAAAATTGAAGCAGAAGCAAATTACAATGTTGAAGGAAAATGTTCGCGGGGAATTGAATGTAAAAGAAGTGTTTGTAAATTTATGCATCCACCACCTGATCTTTTTTTTGATGGTCACATATCAAAATATAAAAATGAAATTCATTTTAAAAAATATAAGAGAAATTTTAAACTTGAACTTAGGAGGTTCATGAAAAAATATAAGAATTAGGAAAGAGCGAGACGATAAGGCGAAATAAACTTTATTCATTTTTTTTTTTTTTCGTGTAATAGTTAAATGACTATTTTCACGCGCGTTTTCTGATATAAAATAAACGAAATAAAAATTATTATTATTATTATTATTATTATTATTATTTTTTCAAGAAAACTTGACAATATTTTAATTGATGAAAATCCAGAATATTTTGTTGAATCAGAAATCGTTATTTCCATTTCAATTTTCCTAAATCCGCAGTTGATTTGACTTTTTATTCCCTGAATCAAACTTACTTTAATTGATACACAAACCAAATTTTACGCCATAATTAACGCTAACTTTTTTTATATACATTTCACACACAATAACATATCTGCAGTGTAAAAGTTGAAAATGAGACTATATAAATCATTTTGTAGTTTTGAAAATCCTGATTTCATGGGAATAGGCTTTTGTTTTTTGGAAAAGGAAATTTGTGATAATCGCAAATAAACATTATCTAAAAGAAGCAAAAACATCAAAAATAAACCATTCAAAAAATGACAGTTTCAACAATTCCAATTCCTCAAATTATTAAAATTGGTGTATTAATTGGTGCTAAAGGATGTAATCTCAAACCCATTGCCGAAGATACCGGTACATCCATATGTAAACACAAAAGTGAGTCCTGCACGAATTGAAATTAGAATAAAATGGAACTCTCTTTCACCATCTGATAATAGAGTTAACGAAGCAAGAGTTCAATTAAATAATCTAATAAATAAATTATTGAAACGTTCAAATCATTCGATCGTTCGAAACGCTCAAAGGATTCAAAGGGCTCGAAGAACTCGAATCTCTTAACAAACTCAAAGAATTTAAATAATTATCAGGAATTTGATGAACCTTATGAAAAATATATCAAAAAGTCCTTCAAAAAAGAAAAAAAAAAATTCAACAATTTAAAAATTAAAGCAGATGCAAATTACAATGTTTGAGGAAAATGTTCGCGGGGAGTTGAATGTAAAAGAAATTTTGCAAATTTATGCATCCACCACCTAATCAATTTTTTGATGGTCATCTGATATCACAATATAAAAAAAGAAATTCATTTAAAAACATATAATCGGAATTTTAAACTTGAAATTCATAATAATGACAGACATTAAGAATTAGGAAAGGACGGGACGATAAGGCCTTGTTCATTTTTTTGTGTAATAATTACAAAATGTATAAAACTATCACGCGCGTTATATTATAAATAAAAGGAATAAATATTATTTTTTTTTTTTTTTAGAACAATTTTTAATTTCCTTTGTAACGATGTCTTCTTCAGCCACAAGTCCAAATTT